GCATATGCATATAGAATATCCCAGTCTATAGGGCTAATACTACTCTACTAGTTCTATATATTATATTAGGAGTGAATCACACGCTTTGTTTTTATTCATTCCTGATTATATTCATGGCGATAGTCCTAGAGCTCTCTATTGTATTTTATACTCTATTATATTTTACTTTACTATATGCTAACACTGCTGCTAGATTTAGTGATAGCGTTATATATCTCTGCACATTACCGTAAAAGATATAAATGCACAGCACACAGGCGTGATTCATAATTGGCCTTTCTGAGAGTGAGAGCATGTCTTCAGGCAGCGTCCATCCTACATACGGAGCGCAGCTCTAATGAACACACACACGCGCGGACCTTGTACGGTAGGGCGTACGCCCACAGTACCCCGAGCACGCCCCCGCACCCTACGGGGAGTCCAGTATTCGCGATGGCTGCAGATAAAGGAGTGTTGTTGGTCGCGTGGCTCGAACAAAACGGAAAATATTGTTCTGGGGTGGTGCGCGGTTGGTAACGTTGGCACGCGGGTGGCAGCGCATCCCTCTCATCAGATGTTAATGGTCATCAGCGTTCGCTCGTATTATGCAAAACTAGTACGCAATTATATCGCGGTCTCCTCGCGATCAATGTTGGCTCTACCTTTGTAGACATTCGCTTCGCCAAAAATGCTTTGTGCAAGAGTTAAAGGTGCTACACAGGTTGAGTAAGCTAAACATCAAGTCAAGTCTGTGTTCCAACCGCAATTTATTGAATGTTGTCGATTGCTTTTGCAATTTTAATTTCAGTGACTATACCTCGCGATTGTAGTTATTGCAGATAGCGTACTATGTGTAGTGTATTGTTTTGATGTTTATATACGCACAGTTCCGATGCGTTATAAATGAATTAAAACATACCTTTCTACGTTTATATAGCACCGCCATTTTGTCTCTGCCTAATTTGTCTCAACGGAAATAAACGGAACATACATACATACATACATACATACATACATACATACATACATACATACATACATACATACATACATACATACATACATACATACATACAGAAGATACATACATACATAAATACATAGATGGAGGGATGGGTGGACGGATTGATGAATAAACAAATGTAGTGAAAGATTTTAATATTCAAATATGTGACATATATGTCATGACACAATCGAATGTAATTCATTTGACCGAATCCGTGTACAAACCTCTTCATATTTTACAGCGCTGTTAACATAAAAATCCGATTCCTTGTATTACCACGACACGGACGTAACCAGAACTCTTAATGCGTTTGGGGACAGACAAAGGCAGCACGGGCAACGCAAGCTAATTCGTTTAAGATTTCATCCGTTCTGCTCCGTTATAACAAAGTTTCGTCAGTAATACGAGACGCTCGCTCCAACCAAGCACTGTGTTTCATGGTCTATGAAATATGATACCCACTGCGGACGAGTCTGTTCTGCAAAGCATTATAATAGCGACTATGCCTGAAGCTACCCGCTGTCTGCTCGTCCGCATTATGATGAAAACATGAATGCTTCACATATATGAAAAATAGCGAGACAACGAAAAACATTTTTTTGAAATGATTACACAATGATTAGGCACACGCAACCGCGCTATCTCTTTTCCTCTGGTTGTTTATGAAATAAACACAAAACGGTTTATTCGTAAAATTCACAAGGTATTCTTTCTCTATAGGCGCATTGTCATTGTGCTCGCATCCTCTTTATAGTTTCAACCTCCCGCCATCGATCAATATTTACTGCCTTCGTTAGATGGGGTTTTCCGAAACCGTAGGCATGCGCGTATGTATATATCATCATCCTCAAAAACATGCACATGCCCGCAGCAAATGCGCGCCGTTTCGTAGTGTTACATACGGGATTCGAACCGCGGCAATTTTTTTCTCACTTATTTCTTCCGCATTTTGGCATTTGAAACGCAGAAAGGTGTTTTAAATTAGCACTCGCTCGACGAGAGTATCGCAACGACATTGAATTCTGACAAAATTCTGCGATTTGATATGTACTGCGTCGTTGATGCTACGCCACTGTATTTCCGTCAGCTTCAGGCAGTAATTGTGGTGTTGGGTGACGCGCGGTTCCCAACACTCACTCCTTCCCTCATGCGTGTACACGCTGTGCTGCGCTGCATTATCACAGTGTTCGTGGACGCAGCGATATGCAGTATTCGAGAGTATATGCTACATTAACTGTACTCGTAAATCTGCCCCCCCCCTTCCCGGTTTCGCTCTCTCCCTCGCCCTGCCCTCTTTGTTTCTCTTTCAGCCCTTTCTCGCTCTATTTTCGTATCTCTTTCTTTCGGTCACTCTCTATCTCTCTCAATATCCTTTTCCTTCCACTATCCCTGGCCCATTTATTTCTTCCTCTTTCGCACTTTCTCTCTCTCTCTCTCTCTCTCTCTCTCTCTCTCTCTCTCTTTTCTACGCGTGTGCTAGAAGTATATGCACGATATTCACATGTATGAAATCGAATTAAGCGTTTTCACTGTTCAACCTGTACAAGAAATCGAATCTGAAAGGGGTCCGTTTATTTATACTCGATCTACATTGCCATAGTCGCTCACGAACAGGAGATCATATAGCTATCATTTAATATCAAAAACGTGACTTTTGTCATTCTAATGACAAAAACATAGACTGACACATAAAATATATGACTACGTTAACGGTACCACAAACGAAACCTAGAAGTATATGTTATAGATAATTGATTAATTCCAAGACATGTCAAAAAACGGTATGCATGCAGCGTTTACTCTATCGAAACGACGCTCGCTGCAATTAAGCTATCAGCTGACTTTATGCGTTCACATACCAGAAAAGCCGGTGTTTCCATTGAACATCTCCCATTTTAATAAATAGTTAAACATTTAAGAGACTAGAAATAATTTCCGATGTACCTTGCTTGAACCAAGGAATTTCCTCCAATCAAGCAATTAATTAACAACGTTTACGAATAAGGTTCTAAATATAATAAATAATTAAGTATTCCTGATTCACTTTACAGTTCTGGTTCGCGTACATGAAACAAAACCAAAGGTCTGTCTTGTCGTCTTCTCTTCCTCTCTTCATTGACTCTCATTCTAGAGTGTAAAATACTGCAACAATTATCGCGATGATACTGCGCTTAAACATAGCCAATATCGTATTATCACGGTGCTTAACACATACAATAATTTTACACAATATTAGCACTGGAAAATATATATATACACCCAATTCGCATAAAACGTCTCTTATTCAGCAGCATGATTTACCACATGCTCCTGAGCTAATATCATGCACGCACGTACTGCGCAACGGTACACGATATACACTTATGTATATTACCATTTCTAAGTATAGAAATCCACATTGAGATCATATTCGGGTAAACGATGCCGTTTATACGCGCTTATTCATACTTATACACGCGTTTTCACTCGGGAAAATGCGAGACATAAAGTTACACGACGTCTGATTATTGTTTGACCTGTAGCATCACAGCACTGTACAGCCATATACATATAAAATAACATGGAACTTTGAAAATCTAACCTAGTCGCCACAGCACGTGTCCCGACATCCTACTAATTCTTCGCGACGTATATAGATTTGAACCAGATTAATATCTCGTGTTCCACTACGAACAAGACTTCAGCTACGATGGGGAATATCACCATGGTTTGTTTGTAGGGATTCAATAATGGCCGTCATTTGGCGGGATGCTCATGTACTGTGAAACCAGGGTTTGTGAATGCGGATGTAGAATAGCTACAGCGTGCTTCTGCTTTACCATATCTGGAAAACAAATTCGATGTTCACTGTATAATGTTACACAAGACTTGTAAGGACGAAAATTGAAAAGACGAATAAAAAGAATATATCAGGCACAAAGATGTTTGTTACATATCGTTGCTTACTATATTATATGTATGAGTATTAATGCATGAGTAATAATGCATATATTAATGCATATATTATGCTATATTAATGCATGAGTATGCGGTAACAGCAATTTTATTATGTGTTAACATTTTACTTCTGATATATGTTGTTTGTAACTGTAATAGGGGAGAACAGAAAAGACTTACGAATAAAGTTAGTATTATGCGCATTGCTTGTAGGCAGGAAGTAACAAGGATTTTTACTATAACAATTCATTTTTGGAGCCGTGTCCATGCAAAAATAGTCTACATTTTTTTCTGTTTTCTAACGTCCGAATGGTTTCTACAATCGCTGTGGAGGATGTTTATATTTTTCTAGCAAATACTTACCATCTAGCACGCTTACTATATATTATATAAGTAAATAAGTAAATAAATAAATAAATAAATAAATAAATAAATAAATATATACATACATACATACATACATACATACATACATACATACATACATACATACATACATACATACATACATACATACATACATACATACATACATACATACATACATACATACATACATACATACATACATACATACATACATACATACATACATACATACATACATACATACATACATACACACACACACACACACACACACACACACACACACACTTACCACACCACACACAACACACACATACCATACAGCGACAGACAGACAGACAGACAGGACAGACAGACAGACAGACAGACAGAAGACAGACAAGACAGACAGCCGACAGACTAGACAGATCAGACCAGACAGACAGACAGACAACAGACAGACAGACAGACAGACAAGAGACAGCTACAGACAGACAGACAGACAGACAGACAGACAGACAGACAGACCAGACAGACAGACCAGACATACATATAAATGTAAAAGGAGTTCCATGCAAAATACAGTTGTTTACTATTGTATGCGATTCGGAGTATACTCGTATGCTAACAATCCTCGTTCAGTAGCACGTCTATTTTCTAGCAATCTATATCAGCGCGCATATATGAGATTGTCGTACTTGCCAGTGAGAGTTTGCAATGGCTTTCCTCCAGCAGCTTACGGTTGTATTGGACCATGCGCTCCGCTTCACTCTGACCAATCATGGCTGGGTTCTCCACAGCAAGCTGATGCACGTCTGGACTGTATGTCAAAAGGCAAATCCAGCAACGTTATAGTAGTAGTGTCATTAAAGTTAGTTTGCATACTAGTATTAATATTATGTTGATGTCTACTATTAGCATAATAACAGTAACGAGTAGAGTGTTGTTTTAGGGGTTGTCTATCATTGATAATAGATTTTAGACGCTAAGCATGAATGTGAAGTTAATTTTACAACTGTATTACAGGTCCAGTCACGAAGCCATGCCATGGTCTCATCAAAGTCATCCTCTATACTTTAGGCTTACAGATGTTATGTATTTAAACAGGCTAGCATGGCGGGTTGTGGTTCCACTAAACACTTAATTAGGGGTTTCGGTGAACTATTGATGGTATATATATATATTCGCAAAATTAACATCAATAATTTCTGCCGTATGCATTACCACTTATTTGTATCAGCTTTTTTTGACGAAAAATATACAAGTAAATAATAATAATGAGTCACTTGAAGATATGTCACTGGCATTTGAAGATATACTAATAGCAGAAGTGAATATATATATATATATATTTATTTATTTATTTATTCACTTCTGCTATTAGTATATCTATACAAGTAAATAATAATAAAGAGTCTGTAAATACTGCATTTGAAGATATACTAATAGCAGAAGTGAATATACATATATATATACGCTTTATTATTAATTACTTGTATATTTTTCGTTAAAAAATCTGATACAAATAAGTGGTAATGCATACGGCAGAAATTATTGATCGTTAATTTGCACATCAACGGTTCATCAGCCGTTGCGATTAATGCAAGATAGCATATGTGGCGATATAGCGATGGTGTAACTGCTGTATATTCTTCACTGGAACCCTATAAACCTACAGCCATTACTGTATACCTCAATCGGTAGTATATACTATCAAGAGTCCATAATAGAAATTTCCTATCATGCACTTATGATACTATATAGCATAGAATCAAATTAGCGTGAATAAAATCAAAAAAATGTTTTTATACACTCCGGATCAGATCATATGCAGCACAGATGGGAGTGTCGGACATTGTGAAACTGTAAGATGCTATATTTGTCTCTAGCAGAACTCTGCATTGTATTCGCAATCTCAGCCTTCCAGCCAATGAAGACCACAAAGTGTGCCAATATAAATAAATACGTTCAGCTGCGCACACGTGTCCACTCTATATACCTTATGAGGTTTCTCGCCCGTGAGCAATCAAGCAAGGCGTCACCGTGCAGCGGGGAAACAAACACCTTTAGTGTTCAATGCGGTCGAGGTCAGGAGTGTCCCAGCGATACATGGAAATTAAATACGGTTGCAGGTGTTGAAAATTAGTGCGCATGTATATAGAGGAAAACTGGGTTTGTGATATTCACTTATACTTGCTCTAGAGAAGACAACGGACGGGGGCCCGCAGTAAGACTCAATACGTGTGCTGAAAGTGAGTGAATGTACGCTGTGCGTGCGTGCGCGAGTGTACGTGCGTGCGTGCGTGCGCAAGTGTACGTGCGTGCGTGGCCGCTAGCGTGGCTTACTTACGTGGCCGTGTGTGCGCTGGTGTGTGTGTGTGTGTGTGTGTGTGTGCGTGTGAGTGTGCATGCGTGCGTGCGTGCGTGCGCGGCGTGTGTGTGTGTGTGTGTGTGTGTGGGCCGTGTGTGTGAGTGGCGTGTGAGTGTGCTGCGTGGCGTGCGTGCGTGCGGGCGTGTTGTGTGTGTGTGTGTGTGTGTGTGTGTGTGTGTGTGTGTGTGTGTGGTGTGAGTATTGCGCGCGTGCGGGCGTGCGGCGGGCGTGCGTGCGCGCGCGCGCGCGTGCGTGTGTGTGTGTGTGTGTGTGTGTGTGTGGTGTGTGCGCGCGCGTGTGCTGTATGTGTATGTGTGTGTGTGAGGTGTGTGTGTGTGTGTGGGGGGGGGGGGTGTGTGTGAGTGTGTGTATGTCTGTTTAACTGTCTGTCTGTCTGTCTGTGTGTGTGTGTGTGCGTGCGTGCGCGCGCACGTGTGTGTGTGTCTGTGTTTGTGTCTGTGGGTGAAAGTGAGTGCGTGCGTTCGTACATGTTTGGATCGCTGTTGAAGACATTCTGATCTATTGTATATACCATTTTCTACTACACATTTTTGTACCATCACACAACGCAATACGCGAATCATTTACTAGGTGTTAATTAAAAATAGCACTGTATATAATAGCCATCTAATTAGTTATATTATGAAATTGCGGAATAAATTTTTAAAACAAACATTTGTCGAAGCATTACATAAGGGGTAATTTTGTATTTAATGAATGATTCGACCACATACATTTGAAACGTCGAAAAATCTGTTAGGACTATTTGTTAACCTTAAATTATTACGACTGATTATTTGCATAAGTAAAACCTTTAATAGTAGTAATTATAGCCATAATGATTACTCTATAGCAGTAGCGTCTGGTGGAATGAATTATGGAAATTAGTATGACAAAACTACCACATCACAGGTTTATCGCAGCATATACGGCATCGTCTTCTTACAAATGTGCTCGGTTTCCATGACTACATGATAGCAGGAAGCATATATTAATATATATATATATATATATATATATTATAGATCTAATTAGTACGTTAATAATTATGAAATTGCGGAATTAATTCCGAAAACAAACATTTGTCGGAGCATTACAGGCGTAATTTTGTATTAAATTTTAATGAATGATTCTACTTCTTATATAATATTATATATATATATATATATATATATATATATATAATATATATGCATATGCATATAGAATATCCCAGTCTATAGGGCTAATACTACTCTACTAGTTCTATTATATTATATTAGGAGTGAATCACACGCTTTGTTTTTATTCATTCCTGATTATATTCATGCGATATGTCCTAGAGCTCTCTATTGTATTTTATACTCTATTAATATTTTACTTTACTAATATGGCTAACACTGCTGCTAGATTTAGTGATAGCGTTATATATCTCTGCACATTACCGTAAAAGATATAAATGCACGCACACCAGGGCGTGATTCATAATTGGCCTTACTGAGAGTGAGAGCATGTCTTCCAGGCAGCGTCCATCCTACATACGGAGCGCAGCTCTAATGAACACACACACGCGCGGACCTGTACGGTAGGGCGTACGCCCACCGGTACCCCGAGCACGCCCCCGCACCCTACGGGAGTCCAGTATTTCGCGATGGTCTGCAGGATAAAGGAGTGTTGTTGGGTCGCGTGGCTCGAACAAAACGGAAAATATTGTTCTGGGGTGGTGCGCGGTTGGTAACGTTGGCACGCGGGGTGGCAGCGCATCCCTCTCATCAGATGTTAATGGTCATCAGGCGTTCCGCTCGTATTATGCAAAACTAGTACGGCAATTATTATCGCGGTCTCGCTTCCGCATCAAGTTGTGCTCTACCTTTGTAGACATTCGCTCCGCCAAAAATGGCTTTGTGCAAGGTTAAAGGTCTACACAGGTTGATGTAAGCTAAACATCAAGTCAAAGTCTGTGTTTCCACCAGCAAATTTATGAATGTTTGTCGATCTGCTTTTGCCAATTTATAATTTCAGCATGGACTTATACCTCGCGATTTGCTAGGTTATTGCAGGATGCGTAACTATGTGTAGTGTATATCGTTTTGATGTTTTATATACGCACAGTTCCGATGGCGTATAAATGAATTAAAACATACCTTTCACGTTTATATAGCACCGCCGATTTTGTCTCTGCCTAATTTGTCTCAACGAAATAAAACGGTTTGCAGACACAGAGCAGCTTCGTATACAACAAACCTGGGGTGTTTTTTGATGGCGTACTCCTACTAGATGGTCGGTGCAACACCACTGCGATTACCACTGGCCACAATACCACTGCAATTACCACGTGCAATACCACCGCCAATTCACCGACACAATACCACGCAATCCACTGCATTTACCACCGCAACACCTATTGCCAGATACCACTGCAATTACCACGCAATGTCACCGCAATACCACCGTATTACAATTCAAATACCACCGCAATACCACTGCAATACCACCGCAATACCACATGCATTACACCGCAATCCACTGCAATACCACTGCAATACCACCTGCAATGTCCCGCAATTATTCAATTGCAAATACCCCGCCAATACTCACTTGCAGCATACCACTGCCAATACCACTATTAATACCACATGCAATACCAGTGCAATTACCACTGCAATACCACCGCAATATCACCGCATACACTGCAAATACCACCGCTATACCAACCGCAATACCACCGCAATACCGCGCAATACCACCGCAATACCACTGCATACCACTGCAATACCAACCGCAATACCTGCAATGCATTTGAAATTACCCCACTGCGATACCACTGCAATCCACTGCAATAACCACTGCAATACCACTGCAATACCACCTGGCAACATACCACTGCAATACCACGTGCATAATACCACTGCAAATACACTGCTAACCACGCGATACCTACTGTAAAAATAACACTACCGTGGCACTACCACTGGCAATACACTGCAATACCACTGCAATACCCTGCAATACCACCGCTGGATACCACTGCAATACGACTGCAATACCACCGCAATACCCACTGCAATACCCCGGCAATACCCACCGCAATACCACTGCAATACCGCCGCCATACGCACTGCAATACCACTGCAATACCACCGTAACTACAATACCACCGCAATACCACGCAATACCACCAACGCGCAATACCACCGCAATACCGCCAATACCAGCCGCGAGATCGCCAATAACCACGCAATACCAGCCGCAATACCACTGCAATGCATTTGTTAAATACCACTGCGATACCACTGCAATACACCGCAATACCACTGCAATACCACTGCAATGCATATTGAAAATACCAACTGGGATACCACTGCATTTAATACCAGCTGCAATACACACTGCAATAGCCACTGCAATAACACTGCAATACCACTGCAAATACCCACCGCGCATACCCTAAACCTGGCAATACACTGCAAGCCTGCCATGAATGCCCACTGCAATACCAACTGCCAAATACCACTCGCAATAGCCACAGCGATACCACGCGAACTACTAGTGGCAATACTCCCGGCATACCACCGCAATACACCGCAATACCACCGCATACCAGCCGCAATCACCGCCCAATACCGCCGCAATACCACCGCGCAATACCACACGCAAATACCACCATATACCACGCAATACGCACTGCCAACTACTAACACGCACCTTGGCAATTACGCACGCAGAATACCACGCAGCGATACACTGCAATACCTGCATCACTGCAATGCCCGCTGCCATACCACTTGCAATACACGCAATACTACTGCAATACCACCGCGATTAACCACTGGCAATACACTGCAATACCTACCGCAATACCACGGCAATACACCACAATACCACCGCAATACCGCCGCAATACGCGGCAATACCACCGCAATACCGACCGCATAACCACCGCGAATACCACCGCAATACACCACCGCAATAACTACCGAACGACGGCATATACTACTAATACCACCGCCATACCATACCGGCATTACCACCCGCAATTACCCGCAATACCACCGCATACCACCCAATACCACGCAATGACTCACGCAATACCACGCAATAACCACCGGCAATACCACCCACCATACCACCGCCCAATACCGACCGCAATACACACCGCCAATACACCTGCAATACCACCGCAGTACACGACAATACACACGCAATACCACCCGCAATACCACCGCAATACCACCGCAATACCACCGCAATACCACCGCATTACCAGTGAGTCTATGGGTATGACCATGAAGCACCAACTCTCCGAACCAGAGCATAACCACGTTGCTCTGGATAATTTACATGACTTCTGGGTACATAATTTTGCTAAAGAATTCGAAGGTATGTACGATTCATTCGCACGGATGATATAAACATATATTCGCGAATTTCACTACCGATTGAATGTATTGTTATTTCTTGTAGTATAAACAATTATTTACAGTCATTTAAAATGACCGTGTTACGTAAATAGTACTAGCAATTTGTCACAAAATATTAGCAATGATTATGAAAATTATATATAATTACGGGTTTTCTTTTACTCTGTCTTGTTTTATTGCTGCAATATATCGCTTATTTTACCAGTAGGTTACCTATAAAGGAGCATTCAGGATTCACCCGCACCGTCTTTTTACCTTTAACAGAACATTTGTATTTTAAACTAATTTAAACACGATTTTATCAAGTATGAGTGAAAAAAATGCGAGAATGTATTTACTGTCGTTTGTGCCTATTTTTAATTCAATTTTTAAAGAACTATACACCTAACAAATCATTACATCTTAATTGACATCGCCAATTTAAAAAAAAAACTCCTGCTAACAATGCAGCGAATTTTTAATGAAATAATAATGATGTACTGGCGCCCAATTAAATCGCGAGCGTACGTCTGTAGAATGCGTTGTTAATTTACACCTATACTCTCACTCCGATCGCTTTACGACTAAACCAGTATTCGTCTAAAGTAGTCCCAAGTGCCTGCGTGTATGATTTTCCATTAAGACACTTGCAGGCATATATAAGACTGTCTGTGTGTAATGTTTCTACCATTAAATGCCCACATGTGTAACCGTATTCGTGGGTACTCAGAAGCTATTCTGAAGGTAGGCTAGATAAACGGGCTGGGTAAAACTGTAATAGTTTTGCTATGCTCTAAGGTATAAATTCAAATATACTATAAATAAATAATGTGGCCTGCGGATGAAACACATACTCGCAAGTCACACGTCCGGTAAATATCTCAGATAATCACACGAGTGAGGTAGAGTATAATCAACAACACGTACGTTGTAGTTAAAGTATGGTGTTTGTTTTTGTTTGGTTTCCAATGCTGTAACATTAACAAAGGTATTTCAGTGTATGTACGCTACCCCAAGTACGCCCTCCGAGCCGCACTAAAGCCAGTAAGTGGACAGTGTCTAAACTTTACGCGCTGCAACTAAATTCTAGTTTATCACCCCGGCTAAACATATCCTGCTAACTAGCTGCTCCGGCTACATAAAAAAAACTCCTGCACGCTAAAGCTAGTAGTTTAGTTTAGCACATTTGCTAAAAAATGAGGGCCGGGATCCCAAACTAGGATGGAGCAGTGAACGGTGCCTATACTCTACGTGCTGCGGCCTAATACTAGTTTAACACACCGGCTTAGTTTGGCACATGTGCGAGAAATGAGGGCCGGGGTCCCAAACTAGGATTGAGCAATGGACAGTGTCTATAATTTACGCGCTGCGGCCCAATCTTGGTTAAATCTCTATACTCTTATACTCCTACAATCCTAGTTATATCTCTTATACTCTAGCGTGCTGCTTACTTGGTTCGGTGCATCTGCGGCGTCCGGTCGCGCTGGCGTCGATTCTTGAACCAATTGCTGACCTGCGTCAACGTCAGACCCGTCTTCTTCGCTAAGTCGCGCTTCTCGTCTGGCGTCGGATAGCGGTTCTGCTTGTAACAGTCCTTCAGCGCCGCCCGCGACTTCTCCTTGAAGCAATAGACTGTCTCCTCGCCGTCCCAGATCGTTTTCGGCAGCGGGTACTTACGCCGCAGTCGGTACTTGTCGACGGCGCCCAGGGGCCGTCCACGGATTTTCTCCGCTTCCAGGTAGTGCGCGCGATACCACATCTTTTGTAACTCGACGTGGTACTGCGCGTCGAACGCGTGGCTGTCGAGGATCGCGTACAGCTCGCGGAAGTTGCCGCGGTGGAAGGCGACGGTGGAGCGAGCGCGCAGCACGGCCTCGCTGCCCCGCAACAGCTCGCTAGGCGGCAGTGACCAGAGGAAGCGGGCGAGCCGGTCGACGTGCCCTCCTTGTTGCAGCGCCTCGCACACACACGCCACCTGCTCGGGCGAGAAGGTCAAGTGTTTGCCGTCTCCCGCCGACGCGCTCAGGTTACCGTCCGTCTGCGAGGGACTGCCGCTGCGGTACTCCTCCTCCTCGGCGCCGTGGTCCGGCGGCGGCGGAGGGTGGGTGGCGTCGCTCGTCGATAGGTTCTGCGGCTCGTTGCCGTGTTCCGGGCTAAGAGACTTGTCCATTTTCATCTGGCTGCGACGACGAGCTACACCCGCGATGACATATTCCGGCGATGAACGTTCGGAGACGCGAACGAAACAAGATGGTTTACTAGGTCTGTCGTTCGCGTATGCGAATAGCACCGGCCCTCGGCAATGTGCGTTGTTACTACGACAACAGGACGTCTCAGGTGACGCCTATGCGACTAAGCCAGACTGAAGCGGCTCCCCGGCAATCTGCATCGAGTGATCTGATTGGCCGTCGGCGGCACCGTGCAGCCAATCATCGCTCCGCAGATACGATAGTATCTAGACACCAAAGCAGAAGAGATCAGAGGGGATTATAAAAACGAGAACGAGAGGAAGAGGAGCGAGACACAGACAGACAGAGAGAGAATTAAAGAGAGAGAGCGAGAGCGAGAGAGAGAGAGAGAGAGCAGAGTGAGTGAGAAAGAGAGCTCGAGAGACGAGAGACAGAGAGAGAGAGGAGAAAAGAAGAGAGAGTCAGGAAGACCAGGGAGGAGAGACAGACAGGAGAGACGAGAGAGAGAGAGATGAGAGACGAGAGCGAATGTGACGAGAGCGCAGAAGATAGAGGAGAGAGATAGGTGGAGAAGAGGAGAGAGAGAGAGCGAGAGAGAACTCGATGCTTTCTGGCAAGCAGACACGTGCAGTTCACGTGTGCCCATTTTAGAAATCGTCGTTGTAAAAAGGGACACATGTACGAATTGTAAAATTATGCATAGCAGGAGCGAATAAAAGCAAGCGTTGGCATACGAGCTAAGGTGCGTGGAGGGACGGCTGGCTGCCTCGACCATTGATTGAACAGGAAATAATATGCTTAATCTAGCAACACCCGTGGGCACGCATTGACTGCCACTTTTGCCGTCTGAATCATGAAATAACGGTATTGAACACGAATCGTATTTACTGCCAATGCCTCAATGTTTATGGACACTATAATAATACCACATAAATGCTATTCAAACATCCTAGAGAACAAATCATTTTACTGCAGAGACGCAACTGTGCCCAACTAGTAGAAACATAAAGATTAAGAGAGTCTAACAAGAAGGAAGGGGAAGAAGAAATTGAGAAAAGGGTTAAAAAAAAGTGCCTGTCCACAGTGGCGTAGGTTCAATATATAGGATTGAACGGTAGTGTGCAGTATATTATTGGAACAGTAGTTACGTGGAATTACTAGGCGGTAAAAATTACATAAGTAATATGACGGTGGAGTGNCACACACACACACACACACACACACACACACACACACACACACACACACACACACACACACACACACACACACACACACACACATACACCAATATATACATATACATACACACCCCACCCACACACACACGGTCCCCCCGGCCGAAAGCAATATTATTGTTTTCATTATTCCCATCAGATGGCGCCGCATGACAGTGCTGCGCGCAATACGTTAATGTTGATCCGATAGATCTTTGAGTTAGTTTTGGCACTTTGTTCCGGATAGATGTCAGCACTGTGCAGCGCAAATAATTTATGGCCCTAACCATCTCGCTATCATATGGTATTTAGAGGCTATTACGCATAGACAAGCACTGAGGCTAAATGGCACTAGTGCTTCTCGGTTACAACACGCATTGGCAGGTGATCGGGTTCTATTTCAAAAACAACCATGCGAGATTCGGTATTTACTGCCACTATGCTACGCGAAATACTAGAGTTTGTTTTGCCTAGCGATGAAGCTCAAGTTGCGCGGCGGAATTATATTCATGAAAACAACAAGTTGCACATCTTTCCCGGGTGTGTGCTTGGTAAGATGCCCTATCCTCGTAGTGGCTCCTGATCAAGCGTTACGAAGGCTATAGGACAGGCTCTATAAGCACCCTACTTTCGCTATAGATACAGCTTGATTTATTAATGCATGTATATAGTCTCCTTCAATATATATCTTATATATATATATATATATATATATACTATATAATA